TGGGGGATTTCGGGCTGCAGCGGGAAGAAAGAAGAAGAGCAGAACACGCGGGCTGGGAAGAAGAAAAGAAAGAAAGAAAAAGGAGAAAAAGAAAATAAGCCATCCTTATCCAAAACTCTTCCACTTTTAAGTCCCTCAGCTTTCAGAATATTCACATTAGGCCCCAAAACAATCTTTTCTCACAATCAAGTCCCTAACTCACACTTAAATATTCTAGAAAATTTCGGGGTATCACATCCACCCCTCCTAAAAAGGAGTTTTGTCCCCAAAACTCAAATTGAGGACCATTTCGAGCGGTGTATGGCTTCACCCAATCCAAGACAAACAAATGCCTCACCAACTCTTATAAACAGAGCATGGCCTATTATGCTTCCGCTGCGTCACTCTGATATCAAATCACAACTAATCTTAGAAAGTAGAACACTAACTACTTAACAGGGTTTACTATGAAACAAGCTACTAGAGGCTGGGGTGACATGAGAAGCACAAGGAATAAAAATAAATCTTGCCAAAGCCACAAAAGAACAATTGTGGGGTTACGCTTCGAACCCATCACAAGACGAGTTGGCAAAGAATGGCATGGATTTACAAACGAGTACAATAAAACTTTGAATTCTATCAAAGACGAATAAGCATCCAATAGATATATGGATCATGAATGAATAAACAAGTGCATGGATGCCTTATACATTTTGCCACAAAACACGGTTAACCAATGAGCAAGGTCATGTTTAACAAAACAACTGGAATCAAGAGACAGATTTTAGCAATTAACAAGAGTTAAAAGCTAGACCCATCAAATGACATGTAAAATTTTCAAAATAGCATCAGAATGAAATCAGTGGAAAATATGAATGCTTGGATGAATACTGGAACATAAGAGTGCAAGGTAGAATGCCTCAAAAATTCAGCAACAAAATGGCATTCACCAAGAATCAAGATCAAATTTAACCAAGTAGTCAAAATTGAGAGACAAGAGTTACCATGAAACAAGCAATAGAATTCCAAGAATTAGGCCCACAAAAGAGATTTCAATAATGACAACCAGAACACGAATTCAAGAGCAAATATAATCAGGATGTCAAGATCAAACACCCCAAGTAACACGAATTAATTAACAGAATAATCAATAGTGGGGATTAGGATACTTCAAAGATTACCCCTTCACCTCGTAGCTCATGGAGGCTAAGCAAATTTACAATCAAATCATCCTAGACATCCTAGAGTCAAGTCAAAGCTAGGACATTAAGAATACAGAGACTAACACTTGCAAGAGACAGGAATCAGGATGCCTTATATAAGTATTTTCCAATAATCATCACCCCTCCTAAAGAGGTGTCCATATGAACAAAATCAAAATCAAGAAGATCAACAGGTATACTGAAACAAGAACTAGCAGAATATACAAGATTTGAGCAAGAGCAGTATACCGAATTTGAACAAGAGCAGTATACAGAATTTGAGCAGGAGCAGTGTCAAAACAAGAATGGTTTTCAAGGACAATTCGAAACAGATTCCAAAAACCAAATATCAATTGATTTTCAAGAAAAGATTCCAAGGACAATATCAATCGATTTTCAAGAGTAGAATTCCAAGAACAATATCAGTCGATTTTCAAGAGTAGAATTCCAACAAGAATTAATTTCAGATAAGTATCCAGATAATGAGGATTTCAATATTCATTATCCATTCCCTTTGGATTTCAGTTTCAAGAACAAGTACAACGCAATCTCAAGAAAGATTCAAGACGGATTTTAGGAGTTTCAAGCAATTTCAGGTATCAATAATGTAGAGATTGGCAACAATAGAGAGTTTAACTTTGTGACAACTTGCCAATCTTCACAAAAACATGGCAATTTCAATTGAATGATCACTACTCTTGATTAACCAATATAGAAAAATGAGCCACATGAAAAGATCATTAAGCTCCAAATGGAAAAAGTGAAACTTCACTATAAGACTTCCAGAAGATAAGAAGCAACGGAATTACCAAGTTATCCAGCTTCTAAAACGCATCTAGAAACACAGAACATTGGCTAAAATAGCCTTGAATCTCTTACAAAGTAGAGGGTTGCCCATCTTTCACTGGTCATGTGACAAACAGAACAAATTTCTCAACCAGCTATGTGGTAGAGACCAACAGGATCGATAACAACAAATCTCCGTAACTCCCTAGATTTTACAATGGTGGCAAAAGAGCATACAAAAATTCTATTCGAGTAACAAGTCTAAACAAGTGCAGACTATCAGAAAATGACCAAGTTTCAAAAAAGGTCTTAAGGACATAACGGGCAAGATTACTTTCACATCTTCACATAGAGTATGAAGGCAAGAAACAAGAACAATCAGATTACCATCTCATCAAAATGGATTAGAAATTCAAGCAACACGAATCAGAATCGTCCCTTATACCCCATCACTCGTCTCACCACGGTTCTAAAATCCACTAGCTAGCCAAGTCCAAAACAAATCCTAGGTATTCAATTAAACCTAGGTATTCAATTAAACTTAAACTCCAATACCACTCAATCTGCTCTAATGCCACTCAATCTGGAGGTGCTTAACTTAATCCTAAACTCTTAATTTCAACTTAAGCTCTGATACCACTAAATCTCCAAATATCTAATTTAACCTAAGCTCTGAGACCACTAAATCTGTCACGCCCCAAAACCCAAATCCGGGGATGTGGCAGACGCCGTGCACTCGTGAGAGGGTCCCACAAATGCACAAGGCTCGGAACTTATCCAATTCACATTTGATACCACCAAAATCTGAATATCAAATTTTATAATTTGCTCTCATATCATTAATCTCCAATACACTCTAGTTTACAAGATCATGATTATTTCTAAAATCTAAATCAATCTC